TCAACCATTGTGGAAAGCAGTATGGAGGTTTCTCAAAATGCTCAAAATAGAAATACCATTTGACCCACGAATTCCACTTCTAGGAATTTACCCCAAGAATGCAGCAGCCCAGTTTGGAAAAGACAGATGCACCCCTATATTTATCACAGCACTATTTACAATAGCCAAGAAATGGAAGCAACCTAAGTGTCCATCAGTCGATGAATGGATAAAGATTTGGTACATATAAACAATGGAATATTTTTCAGCCATAAGAAGAAAACAAATCCTACCATTTGCAACAACATGGATGGAGCTAGCGGGTATTATGCTCAGAGAAATAAGCCAGGCAGAGTAAAACAAGTACCAAATGATTTCACTCATATGTGGTGTACAAGAGAGAAAAAACTGAAGGAACCGAACAGCAGCAAAATCACAGAACCCACAAATGGACTAACAGTTACCAAAAGGAAAGGGACTTGGGAGGATGGGTGGGAAGGGAGCGATAGGGGTGGGAAATAGAAAGGGGTCATTACAATTAGTATCTATAATGTGGAGGGGGTACGGGGCGGCCTCTATAACACAGAGAAGTCAAGTAGTGATTTTATAGCATCTTTCTACACTGATGGATAGTGACTGTTAAGGGGTATGTGTGGGGGACTTGGTGAAGCGGGGATCCTGGTAAACATAGTGTTCTTCATGTAATTGTAGATTTATGATAGCAAAAACAAAGAAGACATATGAGTCATTGAATGGATAAAAAAAGAAGACCCATCTGTACGCTGCCTGCAAGAGAGTCTCTTCAAACCCAAAGACATACACAGACTAAATATGAAGTGTTTGAAAAAGATATTTCATGCAACGAACAGGGAGAAAAAAGTACACACTGCAGAACTTGTATCAGACGAAATAGACTTCAAAACAAAGAAAGTAACAAGAGACAAAGAAGGACATTATACAATGATAAAGGGGACACTCCAACAAGAGGATATAACCATTATTAATATCTATGCACCCAACACAGGAGCACCTACCTATGTGAAACAAATACTAATAGAACTGAAGGGGAAAACAGAATGCAATGCATTCATTTTAGGAGACTGCAACACTCCACTCACTCCAAAAGACAGATGAACCAGACAGAAAATAAGTAAGGAGACAGAGGCACTGAACAACACATTAGAACAGTTGGACCTAACAGACATCTACAGAACACTCCACCCAAAAGTAGCAAGATACACATTCTTCTCAAGTGCAGATGGAACAGTTTCAAGAATGGATCATATACTAGGCCACAAAAAGAGCCTTAGTAAATTCAAAAGATTGAAATTTTACCAACCAGCTTCTCAGACCACAAAGGTATGAAAGTATAAATAAATTACTCAAAGTAAATGAAAAAGCCCACAAACACATGGAGGCTTAAGAACATGTTCCAAAAGAATCAATGGATCAATGACCAAATAATAACAGAGATCAAGCAATATATGCAGACAAATGACAACAATAACTCAACACCCCAACATCGGTGCAAAGCAGTGAAGGCCATTCTAAGAGGAAAGTATATAGCAATACTGGCCTGCCTCAAGAAAGAAAAGCAATCCCAAATGAACAGTCTGCACTCATAATTAATGAAACCAGAAAAAGAAGAACAAATGAGGCCCAGAGTCAGCAGAAGGAGAGACATAATAAAGATGAGAGCGGGAATAAATAAAATTGAGAAGAATAAAACAATAGAAACAATCAATGAAAACAGTAGCTGGTTGTCCAGGAAAATAAACACAATAGATGAACCCCTAGCCAGAATTATGAAGAAAAAAGAGAGTGTACACACATAAACAGAATCAGAAATGAGAAAGGAAGAATCACTATGGACAGCACTGAAATATAAAGAATTATTAGAGAACACCATGAAAAATTATATGCTAACAAATTGTATAACCCAGAAGTGGATAACTTTCTAGAAAAATACAAACTTCAAGACTAACCCAGGAAGAAACAGAAATTCAGAACAAACCAAATTCCAGCAATGAATTGAACTTGTAATCAAAAAACTACTTAAGTACAAAATTCCTGAACCAGATGCCTTCACTGCTGAATTTTATCAAACATTTAGAGAAGATCTAATACCCATCCACCTTAAAGTTTTCCAAAAAGTAGAGGAGGAGAGAATATTTGCATACTCATTGTTTGATGCCAGCATCACTCTAATACCAAAAACAAAGACACCACAAAAAAAGAAAATCACAGACCAATATCCCTGATGAACATAGATGCAAAAATCCTCAACAGTATATTAGAAAACCAAATTAAAAAATACATCAAAAAGATCATCCATCACGAACAAGTGGGATTTATTCCAGGAATCCAAGGATGGTTCAATATTCAAAAATCCATCAACATCATGCACTACATCAACAAAAAGGACAAAAATCACATGATAATCTCCATAGATGCTCAAAAAGCATTCAACAGAATTCAACATCTATTCATTATAAAAACTTTACGAAATGGGTATGGAGGGCAAGTACCTCAGCATAAGAAAGGCCATATATGACAAACCCATAGCCAACATCATACTTAACTGTGAAAAGCTGAAAGCTTTCCCTCTAAGATTGGGAACAAGACAATGATGCCCACTTTCCCCACTTTCATTCAACATAGTACTGGACGTCTTAGCCACGGCAATTAGACTACAGAAAGAAGTGAAATTCATCAAGATTAGTAACAATGAAGTTAAACTGTCACTTTTGCAGGTGACATGATGTTGCAAATGAAAAACCCTAAAGAATCCACCCCAAAATGGATATGTCTTTTCTAATTCAGAACTAATAATTGAACACAGCAAAGTTGCAGGATAGAAAATCAACACACAGAGATCCACAGCATTCCTATATACTAACGAACTAGAAGAAAGAGAAATCAGGAAAAGAATTCCATTTATAGTTGCATCAAAAAGAACAAAATACCTAGGAATAAAACTAACCAAGGAAGTGAAAGACCTATACCCTGAAAACTACAAGACACTAATGAGATAAATTAAAGAAGATACCAACAAATGGAAACACATCCCATGTTTATAGATAGAAAGAATTAATATTGTTAAAATGGCCATCCTGCCTAAAGCAATGTACAGGTTCAATGCAATTCCTATCAAAATACCAACAGCATTCTTCAACGAAGTAGAGCAAATAGTTCTATAATTCATATGGAATCACAAAAGACCCCGAATAGCCAAAGCAATCCTGAGAAGAAAGAACAAAGCTGGGGGCATTATGCTGCCCAACTTCAAGCTCTACTACAAAGCCACAGTAATCAAGACAATTTGATAGTGGTACAAGAACAGACCCATAGATCAATGCAACAGAATAGACAGACCAGATATAAACTCATGCACATATGGTCAATTAATATACGATAAAGGACCCATGGATATACACGGGGAAAAGACAGCCTTTTCAATAAATGGTGTTGGGAAACTAGACATATACGTGAAAGAGAATGAAACTGGATTATTGTCTAACTCCATACACAAAATTAAACTCAAAATGGACTAAATACCTGAATAGAAGTCATGAAACCATACTACTCTTAGAGTAAACTGGCAAAAATCTCTTGAACATAAATATGAGCAGTTTTTTCCAGGATACATCTCTTCAGGCAAGGCGAACAAAATTTAAAAAAATGAACAGGTGGGTAACTATTGAGCCACTGTGTTGTATAGTTGAAATCAAGACAAGATGTGTATCAACAATAGATCAATTAAAAGAAGAGTAAGTCAGTTGGGAACAAAAAAAGAAAAGAAAAGTACAGCAATTAGTGCATTAAACTGGAGGTCCACATGCTTCTGCTATTAAACTCCCAAAGCTGTCCTCATACCCTGCAGTTTCTAACTTTATGAGTATAATCAAAATAAAGTTCCGCTTCTTGAGTTCTGTATTAGTTTATTGTTGCTGTAACTGATTACCACAGATTAGTGCCCTAAAATAGTAGAAACTTACTATCTTAAAATTCTTATAGTTGTGTAGCTTAGATGTTCAACATGGGTCTCATACAGCTACAATCAAGGTGTTGGCAGTGCTGTGTTCCTTCTGGGAGCTCTAGAGATCGGTTCCCCAACCTTTTCTAGCTTCTAGGGGTTGTGGAGTGGCCCTCTTCCTCCATCTTTAACACCAGCAATATTGCATCTCTCTGACAGTGTTTCTCTCCTCACATCTTTTCTCTGACTCTGTCTTCTGAGTCTCTGACTCTGTCTTCTGAATCCCTCTTCTACTTTAAAGGACCTTTGTGATTACATTGGGCCCACCTGCAAAATCCAAAATAATCTGCCTATTTTAAAGTCAGTTGATTAGCAACCTTGATTCCATCTATAACCTCAATTCCCCTTTGCCATATAACCAAACCTAGCCACAGGTTTCCAGGTATTTGTCCATGGACATCTTAGGGGGTCTATTATTCTGCATACCACAAATTTTATTGAGATCTCACCTATATCCTTACAGTTCACCCTCAACCCCCACCTTGACTATGCGCCTGTAACCAAGGAAGTCTGACCTGATTAACAGTTCCTTATTAGTTAAGTAGAGACTGATACTCTTTTTTTCAAAATCAAAGAAGTACATTTTTCTAATATTCTCATAAAAATAAAGATCTCTTACATCAGATAGAACATGACTGTGTTTTTATGATTTTCTTTGTTATCAACAAACTCTGAATGTTAGTCAACCAGTTCCTTTTGACTAATCACATTTTAAAAGCTCTTTGGGGGATTGAAATTGAGTTTCAGGTGTTTGTTTTCCAAATGAAAACATAAAGGACACCCATCTGTTCTCCAAAATATTTTCTCTATCCTCACCATTATTTCATAACAAAACAATTAACACCAAAAAGGTACAAAAGAATCTCAGAATAATCTGCACTTATTTAAATCATCTTAAGCTTAATAATTATAGTATCATTTATTATTTTTCTAATTTTGCTAATATTTGACCAGTTTATTTTAATCATGTTTAAGATTGATTTACCTGTAGCAGCTGCACCACTGTCCACATGTGTCAAGGACTGGGGGCGGCTGCGAAGTTTGCTTTTGAAAGATCTTGGTCTGCGTGGTGATGAAGGTAGCAGAGGAATCTCTGATGATTGGATTTTGCTATCTTTAATTGCTCGAAGGCGTTCATAGAGCTCCTGCAGCTCCTTATTCTGCTGGGTTTGAAGATTTACCACCTCCTGAATGTGTCTGAATAAAAATCATGCAGAATGCACTTTAATGGCACTGGCACCATACAGATGAGCTGAGAAACTACACCAGTACAAGTGAAGTTAAACAGGGAATTTAGATTAAGAACGTGGAAATACAGACTATTTTCACAATTTTAGGATGGGATATGCCTTCCTAAGTATAACATTAAGCTAATCAGACATAAAGAAAAGATGAACAAATTGACAACAAATTTCTAAAACTCCAACAGAGTGAAGAAAGACAAACAAAATCTAAAGTCACATAGTACTGAAAATATTTTCTTTATTGTATGTTGCAAGTATCAACAGGAAGAAAATACTTGCAACATACAGAAGGTTAACATTCAGAATATATAGTTCCTAAATATCAGTAAGAAAAAAAGCAATGACATTATAGAAAAAAGGGGGAAAAAATGAAAAGGTTACTCCAAAGAGGAGGAAATACAAGTAACCAATAAATATGAGATGACGTGCAACCTAACTATCAATTAGAAGAAAACAATTCTTTTATTTTCAAGCTATCTGATTGGAATAAAACTAAAAGGATCAATAATACCTAATTAAATGTTGCTAAGAAGTGGGAAATAGGCAATTTCACATATTTTTGTTTGGTGTGTAAAAGCTACACTGGACAATCTTAGAGGTATCTATCAATATGAAATTAAAATATATATACATTTCAACCCAAATATGTATGTAAAAATAAATATGTAAAAATATGAGTGTTCAGTTCAACATTATTCACATAAGCAAAACATGGGGTAGAACTGAAATGTCCATTAAGGAGAGAATGGAAGCTCTACACCTCTTCCCCTATACCTTGCCATCTGACTGCTCCTGAGTTGTATCTTTTTATAACAAACTGACAATATAGTAAGTAAACCATTTTCCTGAGTTCTGTGAGCCACTCTAGCAAATTAATCAAACCGCAGGAGGGGTTTATGGGAACGTTTAATTTATAACAGGTGGGTCAGAAGCATAGCTAATACTAACTGGACTTGTGATTGGCATCTAAAGGGGGGACAGCCTTGTGGGACTGAGCCCTTCATCTGTGGGAGCTGATGCTGTCTTTGTAGTTTTCAGTCATAAAAATGTTCAAATTATCAAAATGTCACCAATCCTTAAAAAGCTGCCAATCAAATAATTAGCTCTCTAAAACCCAGGGCAACCAGATTTGTGACAAAAGAAAAATAGTCCTTACTTTTCTCGTAATCTTTGAAGCTCCACCTTCAAGTCCTCATCCTCTATTTCTGACTCATCATCACTACTCATTGGGGAAGATGGCGAATAGAAGAGTGAGCTTGGTGTTTGAGCATAGGCTTTTTCTTCATGGAGTGGTAGACACTGATCACTCTCTAGACCAGTCTTTGCCACTGACTTCCCTCTGCCAGCAGGAGTGGCTAAAAATTCATTATCAGAGCTAGCCTGTTTCCCAGCAGTAAGTATCTTTCTCTCTTTAAGCAACAGTTCATATCCAGACTGCATGCTACTTTCTGTGGCTGAATTTTCTTCCAATTTATTCTCTGGGGTCATCAAAGATAGATCAGTCTCACAAGTTGTGCTGAAAGACGAGAAGTTGTCTATTTGTTGGGGAATCCTTTTATCTTCTTTAAAGGTTTCGTGAAGAGCTTGAAATTTCTGATAAGAAAATGAAGTTTGTGGATGGTGTGTGGCAGGTTCTATTTCTACCAACTGAGACTTTGCTACTTCAGTAATGGCTAGAGCTTCTTCACTAGAATGGCTTGTCACTTTATTGAATGCTCGTATGTATTCGATTCCAAATGATGTCACTTTCACTGACTGCTGCTGAGGAACTGTAATCACCTGAGATACAAAAAGGCAAAAATGGCTGGCTCTGCTTAACCAAAGAGTAAACCCACAAAGATACTCATTACCAGTATATGGCACAGACAAGTGGATGGTCTGCTGTGATGTACAGGTATCAATATCAAAATTTAAGAAGTCCCATCTATGCTCCCCATGTATAAAACTTTCAATTGGGCTCCTTGGTAAAGAGAGTTGGCTTCATACTGCTCAAAAAAACTTCTACAATTAAAAAAATTCATAATTAAAGTTAATGAGATTCTTAAGGACATGAAACTAGAATTATGAAAAGATGATCCAACCAGCCACCAAAAAATGAAGCCATATCTGTGCTCTCTTCCAGCTACTAAAATCCCCATTTCTTTAGATTCACATTTACTAGATGGCCACAAAAGGTGAGGATATGCATGTATGGGGAACCAATTAAATATGACAGTGATCTTTATTTAAAATAAGTGTCATCTACAGACCAAGATCTTCAATGGTGTTACCTTTTATAATGCCCTTTTAGATAAGAATTCAAAGACACAAACCTGAAACCGCCCCCGCTGAAATGATCCACTCATTGCTTTACATCTACTCAAAGCCCTAGTATCAGCTGTGGACTCTCCTGTCAGAGGAATGGGATCAGGAGCAACTGCTGATCTTAAATCTTCTGTTTCCACTGCAAGTTTTGCCAAATTGTAAGCAGAAAAGAGAAAAGTTGTTTAAAACTAAATTTGTTTATACTACCAAAAATGAAGAAAAGTAGAAAAAGCTTAACTCCTGCTAGATAATTAAAAAGTGTTAATGCAATAAGCAACATTGTAATAGTCCTTAACTCTAAATCAGACATTTCAAGATTTATCCCAAGACTTAGTATCTAGATGAAATGAATAACTAGAAAACCAAATTAGTTACAAAAGGAAAAATAAAATGGCAATGACATTAATGGGATGCGTTACATACATGGGCCACACAGAAATAGTGGTAAGATTTGTGTATGAACAACAACAACAAAAAAAACAGAAGTAAATGAAAAGTGATGTTACCTAGTCTATGTCCCTGACTGTAAGCACACTACCTTGACGGACTTTTGATCTCTTGAAAAAGCTGGTTGACTGCCGTAGCCTGTATGCCCAGCTTTTTAATTTGCGAGTCCAGGATTTCTTGCTAATAGGATTTTTGAGACTAGGACAAGTAAAGCTTAGGCCAAAATATCCACCTCCTGTCTGCAGATGAATGGCTCCACCGCTTGACACAGCAGCAGGATAGGCCTCTGGATCCCCTGGAAGTGAAGCATCTGGGGACATCTCCTAATGAAACAAAAAGAGAAAATACAAAATGGTAATAATTTAGGTAAAGTGGAGCAGTTTAATATCACTCAAATTTCTTATATGGACTAATCAGTAATCAAAAATAGAATGCTATGTATAATTGTGTTAATAGTACCAATATAAGACTGAACCTGAAGATTTCAATTATTTAGACTTCAGATAAATAAAAGAGCAGAATGTTAATCTTCCACCCTAGAATATTTTCATTATAACAACTTTGAAAACTGAAAATTAAAACTGTTTCCTTCATATGCACCAGTTTACTAAAACACGTTACTGAAACCCTAATGCTCTAAAATGAAATTTGTATTTATGCTCATATTACTTGAGAGTTAAAATGCCTGACACATAGTGACAGAAAAACAAGATATCTAGGCATTTAGATTTACAGAGAAATATTACCAAATCAAGTTTCTTACTTGATGTAAGTAAGCACACAGAAATTTACAATGGACCTCCAAATTATTTCAAATTCATGCTCTAAAAATTGTTAACATCACGTCATGGCTGGCTATAAAATCACTGTCCCCTCTTCTTGCCCTCCCCTCCCTCTCCCCAAAAAGCCAGGATTAACTGTTATATTCTAAGTAAGTACTTTAAAAAATTCCCTATGAAAGTTAATACAAAAAATTAATACATACAACCACAAATACTTTGGGAAACATGAGAATGGTCACTTCTAATCTAGAAAATGAAAAGAATATTTAAAAACTCAAAGAATGAGACTTAGCATTTGTCTGAAGGAAGACAGCCTAAGTGGCCCTAAGGAAGATCACAGTCTCAGGTAAGCATTATAAACACTTAGGGCAAGTCAGCAGTTATTGAATGCAAAATTCTGAACAACCAGTTTTTATTTTCTGAAGTCCCATTTTGGACTAGTAATAATACTCCTTTTATGAAGAGAAAAATACTATGAATTATACATAATTTAGAACATGTTGCATTGGTTGTACTGAAATTACAGAAAAGATTTTTAGTAAGTAATAACTGGATCAAATAAATACAAGTTCTAGCCTCCCTTACCAAATGAAGTCCACAGACATGATAGGAAAAACAGATGTAAACACATGCATATATGATTAAATGGGGGAAATTCAGCTCATGACATATACAGGAACTGTTTCAAAATGCTGCAAACTTAAGTGGCAAATATGGGCAGCAGGGGAGAGCCCTGGCCAACCAAAATGATGAGTGGTTGGCTAGAATGCCTATAAAGCTATACATGAACTGTCTCCTATCTGTCTCTTCAATATAATTTCAGAATACTTCCCTTCTTTTGGTTCCCTGAACAGGTTTCCACCTGTGAATGTCACCACCACATACAAGTCTTTCCATGACCACCCCATATAAAGTTAAGTCCCTAGTCTTTCTATCACAGCCCTTTATTTTTTAGGGTCTACCTTCTGCCACTAGAAAGTGAGCTCCACAAAAACAGAGATATTGACTTATTCACTGCTCAGTAGATAATCACTGAATGAAAGAATGAACTGGTTGAGGTACAAAGAAGGAAGAGCCAGGCAGTTCTGCAGGGAGAGACCTCCCCAGATGTGGCTGCCCGGCAACAACAGGACTCAGGAGGAAGACTAGCTACTGGGCCATCCCCCAGGCAGCATTAGAGACAAGCTGCAATATCAGTGCCAGGAAGCCCATCCCATGCCTTTGCCACAACTGCTGGAGGAAGGCTACAGTAATTAGACACTGCATTTAAAGACAAAGAAGGAGGAAAGGTGAGCACACAACTAAGAATCTCCAAACATAGGAAATCAACACTGTAAGAAAACACTAAACTCAACAAACAGAAAAATAGGCAAGGAAATAGCATTAACAACACAGAATAAAACTTTAATATCTCCAGGAGTTGTGTGAATATGCTACATCTATATCATAAAGAATGAACAGTCAAGAGAAATTAGAAATACAATCCTTGCATTAAAAAAACACCTGAATAGAAGATAGGAAACAGCTTAAAATTGAGAAATTCTCCCAGTACTAAAAGCAAAAGGACAAAGAGATGGAAAGCAAACAATGAGAAGTTAATAGATAAGAAAAACAGGAAATGAAGAAATAAAATTATCTATATTCACAGACAATATGATCTTACATATTACATAGAAAATCCTAAATAATACACCAAAACCTATTAGAGCTAATAAACTCAGCAAAGTTGAAGGATACAACATCAATAGTCAAAAAGCAGTTTATTCCTATATGCTAGCAATGAAAGATCTGAAAAGGAAATTAAGACAATTCCATTTATAATAACAACAAAGAAAATAACAAATGGTGCTGGAACAACTGCAGAGCCACACACAAAAGAATGAAGCTGGAGTCTAATATCACAGCATATACAAAAATTAACTCAAACTGATCCTATCATCTGTACTGTCAATCAAGTGTGAAGCAAAATAAATACATTTTTGGACATTAAAAAAAAGCACCCATGCAATGTACTTAAAAATATTACTCATAGAAGCATTTCAGCAGGGACGAAAAGGAATTCTAGGACACCAAAAACATTGGCAGCTAAGTTTGATCCAGATGTATCAATGGACACTTGAAACAAACAAAAGAATCCATTTGAATGTGACAACTGGAAGAGTCTCCTTTGAGCAACAAAGTTTAAATGACAAAATTAAATTTCATTTTTTAATGATTCTAATCACAATACATAATCATCAGATAACACATATAATAATATAAATGCTGCTTATTGATTTTCAATTGTTTCTATCAACCTACAAAGCATAACCAATTGTTATAGAAAAAAATATAGATGTTACACCTTTGCCAATGTTAAAAAGTAATGTAAGTAATAAAGACTGGGAAGTATACAGGGAAGAAAAGAGGACAAGAGGGAAAACATAATGATTTCTCCACCCTTCATAGCAGTGAGTCAATAGGTATTGTACAAAATTAGTAAATAAAAAAAGTATATTATTTACAAGCTATTATCGACATGACCACAAGAATTAAAACCAGGAACTTAATATTGTTTAGGGAGAGGGATGGGGTGTGAGAGGGTGTTAACAAAACAATTACTTTTAATTTTCTATCCTTCTGAATTGCTTTCATGTATATATATTAATTGCATGATTTAAAATTATTAGTTTAGCAAATAAATATTTAAATTATATTGATCCAATGGGATATTATGCCATTGTTGAAAAAGTTAGGTGAGGTGGAACTATGTGTACTGACATGGAAAAAATGCAGAGTAGCCCATGTATGTAAAGAAGTATATATATATATATATTTATATACACACACACATATGTAATAAGCACCAGTGTCTTTGTAAATATATAATACATATTCATAAGTATGTATATTATAAATATTTGTATGCTAATTAAAACCATGTCTGGGAAGACTGATTAACAACTATATACAGTTAGAAGTATAGTGGATTTTATTTTATGTACACACATATAGTACATATAACAGGAATAAAGAGATACAATGGTAAAGATTAAGACATATGTCTATGATATACTACTATAAAATGAAAACAGTCAAATTGCACTCCAATATGTATATAGCACAATACTATTTTTGTGAATAAAGGGTTACAGATAAATAAATAGATCTGTGTAAGCTTAAGTCAAGAAGGATAAATACCAAATAGCAGATAGACACCAGACAATGGTTACCTCTGTGATTTGAAGGAATAGAAAAGGGAAATTAAGTTCCCATACTACATAACTTTAAAAAAGCAAGTCATATGATTATGGATGATTCTTATCTTAAAATTTTTTTTCAAATAAATTAAAACCCACAAAACAAGATTAAATTAAAACCATGGAATTTTTTTGAAAGGAAATTGGGAACAGGCCCTTTTAAGTGGAAATCAAAAAGTAAAATCTCCCTACCCACTGAATCAATGTATCAATCAGTTCTGTTCTCTCATTAATACAAAAGTAAACATTGCTCACAAGTTCTGTGCTAATTCACCAGTCGGCTCTCTCACCAAAGTCTACAAACTTTCTGAGTTCTGGGCACCTGCAGCCCAAGAGATGTATGCCCTTCTTAAATACCTGTGATCTCAGAATCTTGTGACATAGACAATTTCATTTCAAAGGGCAGATCTTTAAAAAAGAAGGTATTTCTTTAAAAGCATAAGGATAAGGAATTGGTTAGAAAGAGTGATACTTACATGTAAACATAATTCGCTGGGCACAGAAGTTATCACATTCAGGTCCCTTTTGAATACTGATATGTTACCAGGCTGACTCGCAGCCACATTGGACAGAATCTTAGAGCCTATCTGCTGAAAATTAGGTGACTGTGTAGAACTATCTTGAATTCCACTGTGACTGATGGCTATGACTTCTGGCACTGGACACGAAAGTGTATCTTCAATAGAGGAAGAAAATGGAGAGTCTATGCTTTGGGTATCCTTCTGACTCTCAGGATACAGGCTAGATAAGCTATGCTCTTGATAGAGCAAGTTTCTTAATTTTTCATCCAGAGTTTTAATTCGGTTGTCTGTAAACTCCATTTTTGGAGGTCTTTCCCCATCTGATTCCAGGATAGTAGTGGACAGAAGGGTAGTTGGTTCAAGGCTGTGGGTCTGAGTGGTAATGACCATCTTAGGAGAACTTGCTTCAGTGTTCACTGTGGTTTCTCCTTGGGAAATAAACTCTGCATCCACAGTTGGCTGCTGTACTGATAAGGATTGAGGCTTTTGATCAGACACAAATGCCGGAGTTGTAAGAGAGCTACCAGCAATCTGAGTTGACTCGCCAGGAGGAACCAGAAGTACATCAGCCAGACTGGCAGTTTGATGACATGGATGCACTGGCAGAAATATGCCTGCTTGATTGGCGAGTCCCTCACATTCAACTGGAACTGCACGAACTGAAGTAGCAGTGTAACTGGAACTACTAGCAAGTGGTGCCATTAGCTGCCTGTCACCTTCCAGTTGATAAAGTACACCTGGCTGCTTAGTTTCTACACTGGCATATTCAGAAATCTTACCATCAACTACATCCTTGCGTTCTGATTTGGAGGTGAAAAGTGCACGGTGGCATGGATTATTTTCTAGAGTGGGCAGTGTGTCCTGTGATTTTTCCTTATAACTTGTGTTTCTTGGACCTGGAACAGTAACAAAGAATGGCTAAGCATACATAGAAAAGTACAAAGCATGGACTAGTACCCAAACTCAAAAGGGATAAGAGGAGCAAGGGGCAAACGAGAACCTGTATGAAAGCACACTAATAAATAAGACTCAAAATACACAGAATTCAACCTGTCAAGGAAAAAAAACCCATTTTTTTCATAAATATTAAATAAAAAATGGCTTTAGTTATACCCTAATATTAGCATCTTCAAAAATGCTTATGAAAATTCTCAAAAGCAAAAAACACCCATGAAAAAAGGTTAAAGATATGGTGGTATATATTTTGCATCCCCATTCTCCAAGTCTGGATATAGTTGGCAAAGAATGAACACTTACCAGAAAGCAGATGTAGCCCAGGAAGTGTAGACATGGACTGCCGAAGAGAAGGGGGAGACTGAGCCTCACGATTTCTTATTGTTTGATTGATACAGAATCGCCACCGACCAACTGGGGATGACTGAGGAGCAGATTCATCTGTAGGAAGAATTACTAAAAATTAGCATGTTAAACGATTGTTAATATGTTTACCTTAATGACCAAAGATACCAGGTTAAAACATCAACTTGTCTTATATCTCCATTTCCAGCAGCACTAAGATATGTATAATTTATAACACCAGACCTCCCAACCCTGACAAATCCCCTAAAGAACTAAGCACAAGATATCTTAGAGAAGGCTTTTAGCTTCTGCTGAAACAAACATTGTATCAATGGCAATTAGAAGCAAGGCAATTTTGGGGGAACAAATGGAAAGCACTTTTTCCATTAAAACTTACATCTCCTCTTTCGTATCCTGATTATGGTGATGCTTAGACAAATATATGAGTATTGAAATTTATAGAACTGTACACCGAAAGAAAAAAAAGTCAATTTTACTATATGACAAAAAATAAAATAAGCCTTTACATCTTTACTCCTACTTTTTAAATTCACTCAAATAAATAATTCTCTTTTAAACTTTATCCTACTTTGTCAGTAAGAAATCTGTTCAGACTCACATTAATGAGAAAAAGAAGACAAAGACGGATCTGGGTATCCTAACACAAACTAAATTTCAGGGTAATGGTATCTGGTTCCATGACTCCAACACCACTTTTTGCTTCTTCATAGAACATCTAATTCCTTCAGAGTGCCTCATCTGTCTAAAGCTCTTCTCCCCATCCCAGATACTCTAAATATACCCATTGCCAGAGCTGAGAAGAATGGAGATACAAAGTCAGAAAAGCAAACAGAAGGCTCCATTTTTAGTCCCTGGAAGTTTATCTGGTGTCTGATTTACAAAAACATAGCATGATCAGAGCCAACAGAAACATATTACTGGTGGAATGAAATCAAGATATTAATGACTATTAAAAACATGAAGCAAACTTAGAACATAATGATTTCACTTAAGAAATTTCCTGTCCATCTCATATCAGGGGGAAAAAAACTTACCAGTTAAGTTCAAACAGTCAAACTGTTAAAGGTCATCAGTATTGTGAGTGCTTTTCTGTTAATATGCCATGCAACACTCAGAAATAAATTAATCAGATCAAATAACCCAACACATGGAGGAAATTTGAAGAATGGTTTTACTTTCTTATTCTGGGCTATAATGTGCTTTCAAAGTGTGGGAAAAACTACATCAACAATTTTCTGAATTCCTTTGTTGTCTAACATGTTTCCCAATGAAGATGTGTAAAGTCTCCAAATATCTTGCTTCAAAAGCCAAATGGTAAATTTTACTAAGTATACTTACTGCTGGTTTGAGTGGATGCAGAATTTATCTGTACTTGTTCAGATGATCCTGTCTGGATTAAAAATGAACAGATAAATTAAAAAGTTCCTGATACATATCTGAGAAGACTGATTTGCTAAACAACTGCTCTTACTTGGCTACTGTTGGATTCCATGGTAACAGAGTCAACTGCAGTGGTTCTTTCTGCAGTAGAGTGGACATGAAGGATCTCTTGGGCTTGACCTACGATAGCCCTCAACTCTTCTACAAATTTTTCTTTCTCACTTTCCAGCACAAAGTTATCTTCAACCTGTCCAAATGTAAAAGTAAGTCTATTCACAAGAACAAATTTAGTTTCTTCAAAATTATAATATTTTATCAATGGTGACTACACTAAAGAAAGATAAAGTATACAGATCCAAGTGCCACAAAAGAATTAACAGTAACAAGCAACGAAACATTGCATAATACATTAAATTATTCTATTTTTGAGACCACTGACATTTATCAGATTGGCACTATCTACTAGAGATGAAGCCAGTATTTTTTAAAAATCTGGCATTCTATAAATTATTATTTGAAGAACTGAGGCAATGTTTATGTTTAAAATTAGGATGTACAAACCCAATAGCCTTTAATCACAAACCACAAAATGAAATACCTCTAAAGGTAATGAAGAATGGCCCAGAGACAGTTCAGAAAATACTGTTAAGTAAGCAGAAGAACTGACAAAATTATTAACTTTTAAATGTTTAATTCTGCTTGTCCAGGAATGCATATCCAAAGAGAACTGGCAGAAACAAAAGCATTATGTATTCTTTCTGCTACCTTACCTCATCCCTGTTCAAAACGGGAAAAAATGCTAACTTAAGCTTAAGAATTCAAAGAAAATATGAAAATTAAATGAAATGACAAACATTACTTGAACACCTATATTTAAGATGTATGAGTAGCCAACATATTAGAATTACCTGGAGAACTTTACAAACTATCGAAGTTTGGGCATCACCTCCAAATATTCTGATTTAATTCGGGACCCAGACAACAGAATTCCTTTTTAAAAAGTTCTTTTAGTGATTTTACCATGTGGACAGGGATAAAAACCACTAACCTAGATCATCTCTTAATGAAACCCACTCATATTTTTCAGATAAATATACTGAAACCAGGTAAGATCCAATGACTTACTCTTTATCATAGTCAGTTTAGTTATGTACAAATTTTTTAAACTCATAGTACCCTAAAATAAGATGGCTCTGAATAAATGGAGAAAGAGTTAGAGGAAAAGAAGAAACAGAAAATGCTGAAAAGCACATAATTTAGTTTTACTATACTTACCATATAGTCTGCAATATCTTCTGGTGCATCACCATCAACATCAAACTTGAAGGTGACCATCTTGTTATTGTGTGTCTCTAGTTGACACTCCACCATGTTGTCTCCAGAGGTTGACACCTGGGCACAAATATATCACCCAGTTTAAGAGTCAGTCATTGTCTTCTCTTTGCAAATGGTGCAGGTATATCTAGATGAACTCACATACAATATGTGGAAAAAATGGTTTCAATTGTTCAGAATTTAAAAAGATTCTGTTTTCCGTTGGTGAAATACTGCCTAAACAGCTGTTCTATGACAAATGTAAGGGTCAAATTACTCAGCAAAAAATAAGTTAGAATCACGATCCTGTGGGGAAGAAAAGGGAACATAAGGCAGAAAAGTTACAATAGTCACTATAGCTATCTGCAGAGATCTAAATTCAGTCATTCATTTCCAAACTTCTTTTAATTCCACAAATTGACTTGTTAATAAGCAAACAAAAATGTGCTGCTAATGTAAATATGAACTGGTCCAACCTTTCTGGACAGCAATCTAGCAACATGTATTTAGAAACTTTAAAAATCTTCATATTCTTTGACCCACTAATTCTACTTCTGGGAATCTAGCATAAGGCTATAGGGATATATACAAAAATTTGTGTTAAAGGGTATTTGCTGCAGAGAGAGAGAGATGAACAGACAGACACAAAGAGAGAAAAACAGAAAGTTAGAAAAAAAAGACTGGCAGAAAGAAACAAACAGAAAGGAACAACCTAAATGTAGAACAACAAAGAAATGATTAAATTATTATATCTCCATATAAAGCACTACCTAAGGAAGCCATTAAAATAATACATTATTGAAAAATTAATGATATAGGAAAATGTACATGACATATTAATTTTTTTAAAAGGCAGAATATAAAATATACAGATTTAAGAATCCATTCAAAATGTACACCATATTGGTCAGAGATATGGGCTTTGAAGTCTTATCTGGGCTCACATTTGACTATCACTCACAATTTTTTGACCTTAGGTAAATTACTTTCTCTCTCTAATCTTCAGTACCCTCATTTGTAAAGACAAGGATACTACCACCTATCATCCAGGGTTATAGAAGGATTAAATGTAAAACAAATGCATAACATCTGTGTTATTTACCATAAGAGTTCAATAAATGTTTGCTACTGTTACTAGTACTATTACAATTTTAATTATGTGAAATACCACACATACATACAGGAAAGAAAGATGAAAACAAACTAAAACATTAACAGGAGCTATCTCTGAGAAGCTGTTACAAGTGATTTTTATTTTCTTTATAATATTTCCACTAAATTTCCTAATACATAATATTATTATTGGAAAACATTTTTAATGGGAGAAGAATTAATTTAGAGGGAGTTTCACCATACTCTATACTCACCTCTGCAGCAACACTGCCGCTGCCTGACACCCAGACCTCTACACATACTCTTAACCAAACCGTATTTATACACTGACCTGAAGGACAGTAAGTTGGAATTTAGTCCCCTTCTCAGGTCGAGGACAGGAAGCTCTTCTCTGTTTGATCCGATCTTGTTTGCCATTTCCACTTGGGTTATCAGTGGTATTGGTGCTTTCCTTCACAGCTGCTACATCATGATTCAAACTACTAATTTAAAAAAAAGTAATTCCTATTCAATTTCTCAGAGCAGACATTATTCTGTGACTCTCAAAGCCCAATATTTAACCCAAATCAAGAGTTAACATTCAAAATTCCTTCCTGGCTGGAATTCTTCCATCTTGATGGTAAAATTCTAAAACTCCCAATTATAATGTCATAAATAATGAGTTTAAGGGGAAAAAAGCAGTACAATATATTTCTAAAAGTTATGATTGCACAACTCTATTAATATACTAAAAGTCATTAAATTTGTACACTTTAAATGGGTAAATGTAATGGTATGTGAATTATATCTCAAGGCTGTTTTTAGAAGTTATGAAAAACTGAGATCATATTGTATTTATTTGGCAAACATCTCATAATAGCAGGAGTATAAGTAAAACACTGCTAGTGATGGACCTCTGTGGAATCTTTTATCCACAGGGGATGCTCTTGATCAATTTTATCTTGTTTGTATTGGGGTTTCCTATTATTATGTTCATATAAAACTTCTAAAACCAATTCTCACTCAAAATATGCCTGTGTATGTAACGAATTCAATAGGGGACAGACAGACCAAGTATGAGAAACAGGAATAGTGTAGGAGGTAGAACAAGAAATGAAAATGAGATAAAGAAAATGTACACATACACACACACACACACACACACACACACACACACACACACACTGCAATGTGATTCAACTATAAAAAAGAATGAATCTTACTATATGTTGACCGCATGGATGGAATTTAAGGGCATTATGCTAAGTGAAATATGTCAGAAAGATAAAGATAAATACTATACAATCTCACTTATATGTGGAATAAAAAAAAATTAAAACCCCAGGCTCATAGATACAGAAAACAGATTGGGGGGATGGGTGAAATGGGTCAGAAGGTACAAAATTCCAGCTGTAAAATAAATAAATCATCAGGATGTAATGTACAGCATGGTGACTATGTTAATAATACTGTATTGCAAATTTCAAAGTTGCTTAGACAGCTCTCCAAAGTTCTCATCACAACAAAAAAAATTATGTAACTATTTATATTGACTAAACTTATTGTAGTGATAATTTTGCAATATATAAAATATCAAATTATTATGTTGCACACCTGAAACTAATACAAGGTTCTATGTCAGATATACCTCAATAAAATAAATAAATTAAATTAAATATACTACAATTCTGGTAAGCAAAAAATGAAAACGAATGACATAAAAATGGTTCAACATGATTAATTCTAACTAGTTACATTTTGAAGGTTCAAATAAATATGATTATGAAAGGGCAGACTAAGTTTCAGTTTATCTATGGCAAAGGCATTTTTCAGCTTTTTCTTTAATAAGTTTGAGATATTTAAATAAATACCAAAATTCCAATGAACACATTTGAAACTTTAAATGAAAAGATCTATAAACACCAAACAGATATCTTTTAAATTAGTTCATAGGTAAAGTGCTTTCTTCTAAAAGCTACTCATGAGGTATCTGTATAAACATATAGAAGAAGAGATAAGAATAACACCTGAAATTTTTCCTATGTGCATGTGAAGAAGAATTTGCATAAATAAAAGTGGTAGAAGACACATTAATATTGGCTCCTAGTTTTTAATATGCATAGAAACAGCAGTAAGAAATAACATCTTTAGAAGATAAAAGGGACATAATCCTGGTCAATGGGGCTATACCATTCACATTGCAAAGTTACATTAAAATACTAATTTAGGGTTTGGGGCAAGATGGCAGAAACTCAACTCTCCCTGTTTCTCCCTGCTAAGTACACATAAATAACCTATAAACAATATAGTACACATAGTAGGGTAATGGAGGGTGAAAAGATAAAGGTAGACTGGCTAGGGACTCCCAGGACTTGAAAAATATTAGCAGGTTGGCATTTCCCAATTACCCACCCACTGACAGAAGGCATACCTGACTCCCAGCCCAAAGGCAAAGGCAGACCCCTGGGTTTCCCTACCCAGCAGCAAAAAGTGGTTCAGATAGGCCCTTTCCTCCCCTAGTGATGCTGGTGGGAATTCCACCAATAGCATGTAGCGTGGAGAACTGGCCTGAGAAGCAGACCTATGGACATGCTTTCTAAAACCCCTCAGTCCAGTGGTAGGGCCCAGTGGTATTAGGTGAACCAAGCAGACCAAAAGGACTCTGGAAACTAAATCTTCATTAGAACCACAGCCTACAAAAGTAGAACAGGACCTACACACCAAAACAGGGTGACAGCCTGCTAAAATAGAGTATTTAAATAGGATCCAGAGTCTCCTAACATAATATCCAAAATATCCAAGAGACAAATGAGAATTCCTTGCAATATCAAAAATCAGGAAAATTACAACATGAATTTGAAACAACAATCAACAGATGCCAACACTAAGATGAATCAAATATTGGAATTATCTGACAAGGATTTTAAAGCAGCTATCATCAAAATGCTTCAATAAGCAATTACAAATACTCTTAAAACAAATGAAACAACAGAGAAGTTCATAGAAAATAGTAGATATTAAAAAAGAAACAAATGGAAATTATAAAATGAAAGTATAATCATAAGGAGTGACATCACCAAGATGGCAACATAGGTCATTCTGAACTTCACTCACTCACACAAGAACACCACCCATTCAAGAACAATACACTACTGAGAGAATCCTAGAACACAAAGGTGAGGCTGAAGTACCTCTTTCACCACAGAGACCAAGAAAGATACCATCAGAAGGGTAAGAGAAACAGCTACATGCTGACTGCATTGCCCCACCCCAGGCCAGTGCAGTACCACTTAGAAATGTCTCCAATTCCTATGGTGGGAAAAGAGAACCCAGGGGACAACCAGTGACCCCCAGCCAGTATGTGGGTCATTTTGCAGGAGCCCCTAATCTGATCTCATACCACAAGGATTGAAGGGGAATCTATAGGGCTCAACCACTATGAATCTGACTGTGATGGAGAAAGTGGGGAGGGACTTGGAACAACCAGCACGGGGTCTTGGCAGATCAACTTTATACCTGAAGTGCCCAAATAGTAATGCCAACCAGGGGATCTGCTCACCTACAGAACCCAGAACCAAGCTGGGGGCTCAGTCTAACCAGGGAACTTGGCAGGGTATATATCTGCCTGATTTGGATCATCAGATGAGGAGTTTTGTCAGCTCTAGAGCCCAATTTGCCCACACCAAGGCAGGGAGATGAATCACAGCCCCACTTGCTGTGGAGAGTGTCTTTTGGCCCCATCTCACCAGAAGGGTGACAACTCCTTGAAGCAGTGTGGCCCAGAAGTGCTCAAGCCAAGAGGCAGGGGGGCAAAGCTGATTGACCCTAAAGCAAAGCCAGTACCAGGCATGAAGTGTTCCTGGGCTACCCACAGGAAGGGGGGTTAATTCACAGCCAAGGTTGAGGGTAGCCTTGGGCCTCTCCCAAAGAGAGAAGCTGTTTGAGAAATTGAAAGTAACTTGGAATGGTCATTCACACTCTCACCCAGGTAAGGAACCTGAGACATTGCACAACCCACTGCGTAGTGTGTCTTTAGGACCTATCTGAACAGAAGGGTTGGCAACAACTTGTGGAAGCTGTGTGGCACTCAAGCCAAGAGGTAGGCAGGAAGAACCAAAACTTTTCAGGATGAAGGCAGTGGGTCTGTTTGGCCAGGGAACTTGGGGTGTAGGCCATCTTGAGTTAAGGCTGTTTCTCCTGTTGCGCCCAGGCAGAGAATCTAATTCACATATCACTACTCATCACTGAATACAGCCTTCAGCCTATTGAACCAGGGAACCTAACCAGAGCACACAGGAAGGTACATAGCTCACTCAACAGCCCTGCATACAGTGGCACTTCAAAAGAGAGCACAGCCCAGGTCTTCCCCAATCTGCAGAACAAAATTGATGGCCTAATTTGGCCCAGGGAATTCAGTGCAAACTCTGGCCTGATTTAGGTCTCTAAACTATGAGCTGTATATGTCCTGGGTCCCATCCTGCTGCCCTACCAGGCAATGGACATTAATTCATAACTATTACTGAATATATTACCCTATTACTGAATATATTACCCAGTCTCAACCATTTAGGAAGCATCACCAGAGAATCCAGGCAAGCGTGAAGCCCATCCTATAGCCTCATTTGGGTAGGGAACCAAGCCAGCAGTCTTATCCAACTGTTCTCAGCCACTGACAAAGGCCCACATCCCCATCCTCAGAACTGAAACAGGTGACTCACCCAAAAGTACACCATAATACCAAGCACTACCTGCCCAAGGACATTACTAGCAGACATACCCAGAAACCCAAACTGAACACACTGATGAAAAACTGACTCTGTCAAAGTTCACTTGTAAAGTCTGGAAGGAGCTTGATTACTCAGATGTGTGGATACCAACATAGGGAATCAAGGATTACAAAATATCAGGTAAATATGACACCACCAAATGAAATTAATAAAGCTCCTATAACTGACACACCAAAAATGGAGATCTATGTACTGTCAGACAAAGAATATAGAATAATCCTCTTAAGGAAGTTCAGTGAACTATAAGAAAACACAGACAACTAAATGAAACTAGGAAAATAATCCATGAACAAATTGAAAACTTTGACAAGAAAACAGCAACTATTTAAAAAAAAGACAACAAAGAGAAATCACACAGTTGACAAATACAAGAACTGAAAAATTCAATAGAGAGCTTTAAAAGAAAAATCAACCATACAGAAGAAAAAAACAGCTACTTGGAAGATAAAAGAATAGGAAACTACCCAAAGGAGCAAAAAGAAGAAAGAATGAAAAAAAGTGAAGAAAGCTTATAGGATTTATGGACCACAGTAAAAAGGAACAATATTTGCATAATGGGAATTTCAGAAGGAGAAGAGAAAGAGAAAGAGACAGAAAGTATATCTACAACAATAATGGCTTAAAAATTCCCGAATGTGGAGAGAGAAATGGACAGGCAGATCCAGGAGGTCCAAAAGACCCCAAATAGGTTGAACCTGAATAGGTCTACACCAAGA